TTATAAATTCATAAACAAAAACGACAATCAAACATATTTTTTGTTTTAACTTTTTACCATAAAAAAAAATTATTTATGTTTTTATTTTTTAAAAAAATAGAAAATTTACAACATTATCACACTTATTCTTTATCTTTTAAGCTTTTTTTTGCCGATGGGCTCAAAATTATAGAGAGAGAGAGAGAGTGCCTTTGATGCCCCATTCTGAAACTGGCATAACCCTGTGAGCTGTGATGAAGAGGGAGGAGTGCACACTGCGACAGTTAGTGAGAGACAACATCCATCATTACTACAAACTGGCATGGGCCACCTCTGATGCTCCACAGTCCACACTTGACAAAACCACCTCCCAAAAGGCCTGCCCCCTTAAATCTCCCAAAATCCCATGACAAATCATCTCTCCTTTTCCAACATCATTTCAGGCTTATTCGAAAATAAAATACAGACAAACATTTTTTAAAAGAAAAAAAAGACAAACAAGTGCCCTTTTATGAAAAAGTTTCCCCAAAATCCAATGCTCAAATCATTCCTTCCCATCAAAAAAGAATGATTCAAAATATTTTGAAAATAAAGGCTCTCTCTCTCTCTCATTATTTTGAATTTAAACCAAGAGAGGGTAATGGAGGATCTGCAAATGAAGTGAAACAAACAAGATCATTGATCTATCAATCAATGAAAGGAAAAGATTACAACCTTTAAGATAGATTTCACAATTGATGTAAAGCTTGTCCACTTTAGTTTTGAAATCTCCATGTCTCTTTTTTACTTTTATCTTTTTCCCACTTTTGGCTGTTACCCCATGCTTGATTAGAGAAAGAGATCAACTAAAATAGCTTTCCGCATGCAATTTTATTTATTATTTTTCACAAGCTAAATACAGAAAATATACATGAAAATGCAAGTCAGCTGCCACATTGATTACATAAATAATAAAATAAGGAAAAATTGTAAGAAAATATACAAAATTAGACTTAATTATCAAAAATTATATAACTCTTAATGATAGATCATTCAGTTCTTTATTTTTAGAACTTAATTGTGTCAAAGTACATAATTTAACTTTTTGTATGTTTTTCTTTTAACATATTTGCCCCCATATATATATATATGAATTCTAATAAAGTAAAAACCTAAATTTTAGAAAAATCAGAACTCATAATAAATCTTCTTCACTTTTTTAGGATATGTTTCAAAGTTTTTGGAAACTTTTGAAATTTGATTAAAATTAAGGAATTTTAATTATCTTATCTTAAAAAGTATTAAAATTAAAGAATTAAAATTAAGGTATTATATATATATATTAGTCATAGCTCGTGTTTGAAGGCACGATAAAATACAAAACTTGAGTATCCAAAAAATCGATCTCACTATATTAAATTTTTTTAAAATATATTAATTACAAATTAATCAAGTATTAAATGATTAAATATATGATAGAAATGAGTTATTTGATATTTTTAAGGAGAAAATATATAAATGATTAAACATATAATAAAAATAAGTGATGTAATTTGTCTTTTGAGTCTGACAAATGAATGATGGATGAGGTAACTAATTGGTGATGATTTTGAGCGAAAAAATATTACTGGGATAAAATTTACACACACTCCTGTTTTATTATATATATATATATATATATATATATATATATATATATATAAATGTAGGTTTTTTTAAAAAAATTGGAAACTTATTTATAATAAAAGGGTATCCAAGTCTTTCTATATCTTAAGTGAATTTTTTTATAAGTGAATTTTTTTACAAATATTTTTTTCTATATCCTTTTTTACAATTAAATTTAATTTCGTGCACAGACTTTTAAAGATTCTGTAAAGTAAAGAGCTAGTTGGGGCCCATGAACAGACCAGGTTGTGGCTTGGGCAAGCACATGTCCCAGTCGGTCGCCTTACGATTGGGCCAACCAGAGCCCATTGTATATATTCTCTATGTGAGTAAATTGTCTTTAGATACGAGAAAATAGCAATGGCTCCATATACTTGTATTCTATTGTACTTTGTTGATAACTGGATGCACTATATAGTGTTTTAGAGCAACTTCAACCCAGTTTTCTAAAATGATTAGTAAAAATATATTTGAATATTATATTTTTTATTTTAGTTAGTCATTTTTATAAGTTTATTCTAACCAATCTCTCTATTTTGACTAACTATTTCACTTAACTTTTACTAACTCTCAATAATTTAAAGGGAATTACAATATATATATATAAAGAGAGAAAGAGAGAGAAAAGAGGTAGAGAGAGAATTTGAAAAGGCTAAAGGGCTCTCCACATTTGGAGAGCCATTTGGGTGAAATAGAAAATAAAGAGTGAGATAGAGTGGGTTGGAGAGTGTTTTTATTATTTGACTAGCTAAAATAGCTAAATAAAAATAAAGAAGTAGAGGTGCATTAGAGTTGCTCTTATAGAGAGACTAATGCTAGTATGCTACCCTTAACTTTGCTAGACCCAAAATAACCAGAGCCAGAACTACTATCCCCCATATATTATGTACAAAATAGTTTATTTCAATAAAATTTTCAATTTCCAATAAATAAAAATAAAAAAAATATTTATTCAGTTTACCAAATAAGAGAAAAAAAAAAAAAAGAGTCGGGACATTGAGCTCCGCCATCCCAACGCAACTTAAATTATTTTTTGGAACTCAAAGCAGGTATAATGGGAAAAGGTATTCTATAGGCTTGTTTTCTTGCAATACAATGTTGACAAAGCATTTAAGGACAGCAATCAAAGCATTAGCTCTACCAAATACTAGCAGTAACGCATGCAGCACCGGCCTCAGACTCGGTCGCCTTATGAGTAATTTATAGGAGTCTAATTTAGAGATTTAATTAAAAAGAATAATATTAATAAAATATGTACACTAAATCACTTATAATTGTTAGATCAGTACGTCTCATCATTGATCCAACGATTGCAAGTGATTTAGTATAAACTTTAGTGCATCAATAATTATTCAATCAAGAATCTAATTTACTACAACTACTGAATTAATTATGAGTTCTAAAATTATATGGTGCCCACTTTTAATTCATTGGTTGTATTAAATTATGTCCCCAAATTTAGTCACTAAATTAGGTCCAAATAATATTTTTCTATCTGTTTCAACAATTAGAAATTATAAAATAAAATTTCTTCATTTTTTTTAATCGACAAATAGCAGAAGCAATTTCTGTCCCTCTGGATCTACGAAGCAACAAAAGCCCCTCTCCAATCCATTGCATAACAAAAGCCCCTTTGGACTATGAATTAGAGGTCTTTGAGTTTTTATATTAGTGAATTATGTTGAAAACTTAAATAGTTAGTGCAATATTGATGAAAATACTATCTTATTATGATTTTATGACTTCTTTTACAAAAATATATATATTTTATTAATAATTATTTAAAATTATGCATATCTTATGTATAACACGATACAGATATACGATATGTTATTTGTAAAAAAATGATACTTCTTTAAATACACTATTTGACAACCAGGCGTACAAGAGTTACTCATATACTACCCAAAAATGTAACATTAACGTGGGTGATAAAATATGAGTAAACAGATTTACCCAAGTTAACATTTAAATAACCATATTCTTATTACCTTCATACTCATTGATGCCAAAAAAGATGACATAGAAAACCCAAAAAAAAGACGAAGTAAAAGAGGAGGAGGAATAAGTATTTAAACATGGTGAAAATGTGCCGAGGCTCCCAATGGTTATTACATTGGAGAAAATTTGTGAATTTCAAGAAGATAGTATCATTTTTTGATTTGTAAGAAACCATATAAATTTTCTCTATATCATTTCAATTTTATCGGATATCTCGAAAGTACAAGAAGAATAGAGTACCAACTGCCAAGTACACCCTCCAAAGTTAAGCTAAGTTCTCTTTTTACACTTTCAAATAAGCTAAGGTCATATGATAATTTAAAAAAAAAAATCTTATCAATTCTGCTAAACTGTTACGCTATGTTTTCTTTCAACCACAATAATATTATTTAGAATTAATTTATTATTGTTGCTTGATTTACGATAGATCCCATCAAATATTAAAATTTATTGTTAATCTAACGATTATAATGAATTAAATCAATAAATTAAATCATTACATTAAGTCTAAATAATATTACATTTTTGGGATGTGATTCAAAATGAAATTTCGATCTACGGAGGATCAATTTGTTGTTTATTTACAGTCACGTCCTCCCGAATTAAAACAAATTTTCTTTAAAAAAGAAGCAAAACCCTATAGGAAGACATTTGAATTCTTACACGAGATTGCGGCGCCTAACGATCCCCCAAATCTCGCCACCAATCACCCTACATATCTTCAGAAACTTTCTAAACCAGTAAAACTTTAACAACATATTTAAAAATAGTAGAACACAATGCGAGAGAGAGAGAGAGAGAGAGAGAGCAACTAGCCAAAACTCTAGGCAATTGGCTTGCATTGCACCAACGAATTGAATTTTCTTGTTCGATGAAGTATAGAGAAGTGAAGGAAACAAAAAAATAGGTCAGGTGATAAACAAGAATGTTATTGGAACATAATTTATGGACATAATTTATAGACATATTGAGTTGTCACTAATAAAATAATAGTGAATTCATTTAATGCTTCAATGGGACCCATTATTAAATATATTTTACTATATATCTAAGTATTTTGAGTCCTAATTATGACAATTTTTTGCGATGAGAGAAATTTCTCATGAATATTTTAGTTTAGACATAAATAACTTGTTTTTAACTAAAGTATAATAGATATTAATCAAAATACGTATAAATTAATCTAAATACTCTTAATTTGTTAAAAAAAAAAAAGGTTGGAGAAAGATTACACATGCACAATTATAGAGAGTAGAGTCAATACACATTCTCATTACAGGAGTCAAAACCCCGTCTGAATCCATGAATAGAAAGTCACACTGTATTTAAAAAAAAAAAAAAACTAATAGCATTTTACTATTGAAACAAAACCAACAAAAAAAAATGAAAAGCAGGAGTCCATAACCAAGCTAGTTCGTATATGTATATGTATGATGAACAATACCATGTGGAGGACCAAAAAAAAAAAAAAAACAACAAAGGAAGATGAAGAGGCTATTATTTACACATAATTAAAGAACTACAGTGTTCTAGCTTTCGTGAAAGTCATGGTTAAGATCATGAAAAACCACAATATTTAACCTTTTTCCAATGTCTTATGATAGCCACCATCATTGCCTCCTTACTTTCAATCATGTAATAATTTGGAAGATCACTAATCTGAAGAGCAAATCCATGATTCCACCATACCTTCACCTCTTGTCGAAACATTCTCCGACACCTTATCGCCCTGAAAATTAGATGAAGAAGCCGAGTAATTTAGCTTGCCATTTGAAACATTCCGAGAAGAGTTGAAACTTCCATTGACAAATCTCAGATGACTTTGATCAGTATCATTTGAACCCACTGCGCCGCCCCAACTTTCCGGATTGTTGTAGTTCCTCGACGTCGTTCCGTCGGAGGAGACGAGGTTTGGGAGGTCATGAGTAATGGTAGTGTTGACATGCCCATGACTTAAACCAAGTTCATCCACAAAACCCATTTTGAGATGTGAATCACTTGATGGAATTTCTTGAGCTTTTGAACCAAGAATGGCTGAATTGGCCAGTGGGTATTTTGGAGGAGTTTGAAGGAGGGACTGAAATGAGTTAAATGGGTTTTGCATGTTGAGTAGAGGGCTACTCTGAGACTGCTTAAAAGGGCCTAATTCAGAAGGTAGCTGATAGTTAATTGAAATCGAATTAGAAGCACTAATTGTTGAACCAGAAGTGATGTTGTTAGTAGTAGGAGGAGAACTAAACAGAGAAGGACTAAAAGAAGATGATGAAGAAGACGAAACAAATGGTGGTGGTAGTTGAGCTTTTTGAGCAAAGGGTCTAAGGAGATAGGGTGGTTGTGAACTGTCCAAGGGGTTGGATCTTATGGTGGAGTGTGTACCGAAAAGATCAAGTCTACTTCTAGGGAAGGGTGAGGATGTGAAGGGTGGTGCTGGGATGCCTGTGAATTCCTGAACCATGGCTCTGAAATTGGTGGTGTCTGTGGTCAGTACAGTGGTTGGTGCACGCCTTGAAGCTCTTGATCTTTTCTTTGGATTACGAACCATTTGGGTCTGATGATCAGAGGTAGTTGATGATGAAGCTCGTGGTGTAGCAGTTTCTAACGCCGGAGGAAATGCAACCGCCGGTGATTGGCCTGTGAAATGACCACGGTATTGACCTTGACAGCCGAAAAAGGGTTGGAGTGAAGATGAAGACGCCATCACATGGTTGATCTCGGAGCTATTGGGTTCAGATCTTTGGGTTTTGGGCCAGACCATGTCTAGATTGAGAAGAGAGCTCGGGTTTGGAAGGGGCTGCGGTGGTCGTGGCATGGGGTCGAAGTAATTTGGTAGTGGGTCAAGCATGGAGGAAGGAAGGGTTGAGTGTGCTGGCGGTGGTGGTTGTGGTGGGGGGTGTGGAATGGGAACAACATGGCCTGTTGGGTTGTACATGAAAGCTGAGATCGAATCGGCGCGTGAATCGTATTCCTCATCACCACCACTCGATGACTGTAGACTCCCACTATTTCCAGAATCCATGTCTCTCTTTTAGAGAGAGAGAGAGAGATGACTACAAAATGGAAGAACGTATGGGAGACAGAGATATGGAGAGAGATTTTGCACAACTACAGACAGATTTGCTCAATCACAATCCCATTTAAGAGAAGCTACAAAAAAACGCCAGAAGACACACACAGAGAGAGAGAGAGAGTACCTATGTATTTAAAGCTCTGATCTGCCAAAAAAAAGTCCTTTCCATGCCTTTTTCTTTGTCTGTGAGGTAAGTGTATGTTCAAAGAAGAGAATAAACAACCCACAGATCATGAGATTGATCGTTGCAGAAGAGAGATTGCTGGAACAGATAGTTTTTGTCTTGTCGCATATGGGGTTGGGTTGAATTAGGGCTTTGTCGAGAAGGAGAGATAGAGAAACAGAAGAGGGGTGAGAAGAGATTAGAGCTTCTCTTTAACCTTTCATTTCTAAAAGAGAGGCTGCTTCAGCTCACCTTTCCTTTGAAAGATCAGAGTGGGGTCTGAGAGGGAGAGATCGAGAGCGAGAGAGAGAGAGTTGCTGTGGATGGCAAGCGGTCAAAGTGAGATATAGGGAGTTTTGTGGTTTAGATTTACGGTGTGAAAAGGAGGAAAAAGATCTAAGGCTTTAAGTTATTAAGTACCTTGTAAAAACAAGAAAAAATAAGTATAAAATGAAGTAATTAACATAAAAAAAAAACTTGAGATAATGAGGTGGGCCAGAAAACAAATACAGAAGATGGTTGTTGAAATGGTGAAAGGTATGAAGGAAACAGAGAGACACCATCAGAAACATTACTTTTCAAAGCTCTAGTAATTAATACCTAACTTGAAACATGGTGTTAAATATGAGCACTTACAACAAGTCAAAGTATATTTCAATACCCCAAATTTATTTCACTTTAAAGGGATTTATCATTTCCACAATATTTCTCTTTCCTCTTCCATGTGCTATTCTACCTTATCACCAAGAAAAATAAAAATGAATTCCTCACCACAGCTTTTGACCAAGTCAGATTGGCTGATAAAATTTCAGAAAAGAAAATCATATGCATTGAGGTCATAATAGAGAACTCGCATACTATCTTTTGCAGTCTTCCTCCACTGAATTGAAGGTGGAAGAATCATCATATGTCTCTTGTTAGTTTCTACTTTTAACCCCTCATTTTTTTTTTCACACTAGTACTACTTCCCAGCTTTTTTAATGGGTGACTTTGCTGTTAGGGAAGGAAAGAAAAGAAAAGATCAAAGTGATCCTTTTGATGGATGGATCAGTTTTTTTTTTTTTCGAACAAGGATGGATGGATCAGTTCAACCACATCAAAGTTTGCTGCACCCATCAGAACTAAAAGGGTATACTTTTAAATTTTCTGCTTTCTAAACTATATTTATAGATAGATATATACATACATACACACATATAAATACATATATAAATATATACTTGTATATATAATGGTCTTTTGATCGCTCTCAACTTGGTTGTAGAATAGTCTGTCTTTATCATTGTGGGTGTTATTATAATATTCTCTTTAATTTATATCTATGGTCTGTATTTGCCCCTACAAAAACATACAAAAATGTAAACCCTAAAAAAGGTTCGAATTCTCACGTCTTCTAAGTCTACACGTAACGTCATAAAAGCAGGTGGCAAGTGGCTTAACTCTTTGTTCCTAACCCTCAAACAACCAATTTTTTACAGTTCTTGATAGTTACACGCAGATTATAAGAATCTCTGAGTTATCATGTGGATATATTATTAATATTATAGCCACATCGCATTTAATACCATGGGAAGAGATTACCTAAACATGCCTTAAATGTATGTCTTGCTTGCTCCCCTAAAACTACTCAAAAGTTCAAGGTAGGAGTACTCTACCGAGAGAGATAATATACGTATTGAAAATTACAAATATATAGAAACTGGGTAGTTATGATCTGTTTGAGTTAAAACTCAAATGTTATGCTAGATTTTAGAGAATGTCGTACTTGTAAACTCACCGGACTATGTAGTAATATCATTCTTTTTTTTTTATATAGTAATTTTGGTACCATATTAAATAAGAACTCTCCAACACCTTACTCTTAGCCCAAAGTTTACGTGTATGAAAGCACCAAGAAGATGTACTATCCATTGATTGAGGTAAACCACTACGTGGGCATTCACTTCTAGTGCTTCTGCCTCCATTGCCGACAAGTTTTTAATTACCACAGTCGGTAACCCTTGGGTTTTGACCTACGTTTTAAAAAATTTACAGGATAAATTAATTTATTTTGATAGAATTACATTAAGACCTCTTAAGGTTTGTCATTTAATTAATCACACATCTTTGTATTTAAAATATTACATACAGATCCCTTGAAGTTTGTACGTGAGTAACACTTTGACCCTTGTCATCAATGTTCGTTAATATATCAGTTAATAAATTATATTTAGACCTTCTAAAATTTGTAGGCATGTAATATTTAGACCCCTCAAGTTTAAAATGTTATACTTAGATTAAAAATACTCCAATCAAAAATAGAATATTAAATATTTTAACTTTTACAACTAAAATTCATGTTCTATTATGACATTTATTAAAATAAAATTTAAAATGAAAATCTAATTTTTTCTTAAAAATTTATAATTAGTATATAATTATACTATCTAAATTTTTATAGTAATTATAATTAGTATTTGAAAATTTTGATTTAACTAATCTGATTCTAGAATTTTGTTGTGTTGCTCTCATTTTTCAGTACACATTGAGAGGGAAACATCTAGAAAGCACACCACATCACAAATATGCAACAATTATCCTTCTGGTTCAAGTGTCGATGTTAAAAAGTATTATTAATTCAACTTCATAAAATTAAGAGGAGTTAGGCTCCTCTCCAATTACGAATTAGTTGGAGTTGTTCAATGGCAAATATTTTTCCACATCGACAAATTGAATTCATTTCGGATTTTCAAACTTAACTTCTTTCTCGAACAACAAAATATTAGTTGACGTGTAGTAATCTTCGCTGTTGATCCCAAAAACTGCACCACAAGAATGTGAGACGATCTAGCAATCAACAGGGAGTTCCTGCAAAGGAAGTCGAAGACCAGAGAGGCTCCTATGGTTGATCCTCTGATAATAAAGTCAGAAAGGGTATGATTGACTGAGGATTACTTACTTGGTTCACGGTTAGCATGATTCTTTTATAGGTGGGCTAATATTGTGTCATTGGAGCTCCTCAACTACTTTTTAAATAAGACAACAGAGAAAGTGGAACGTCTCTCAAGGGCTTCGCAACTGGTTTGAAACTGCTTTTCAGATGCTTGGTTGGGTATTGAGCTGAGATATGGGCAAACAAGCTACTAGGTGATTGTTGGAGTCCTCTTATTAAGAGGGAGAGCTCACGTGCCAAGCTTGAGCACACGTGTTGGGGTTGTAAGTAATTCAAAATCATCATTCACCATTCAAAAAAAAAAAAATGGACAATTCTCTATTTAATTATTATTTTATTTTTCATCAAAAAAATATTATCAAATTGAAAAGATATTGCTTTCTATGTATTCAATCTCCAAAGCATGGACTGATCACTATTTGACACGACTTGTGTTGCATGTCTTAGAAGGGGGACAGGTACTTTTAAGGGAAATGACAGAATATTTTCTACTAAATCCCAATACTGGAGAGCACTCACCTTAAGAATATTTTGGAACATACAGAATAGGCCATGAAAATTCTGCGGCTCATCTGTTCTGAAAATAGTGCAGCAATGGATGCAATGAACAAGGAATGATCTACAGAAAATGAAGTAGTTCATGCGTACGAAGGGTTTCCAAAACAGAACTCATAATTACGTATGCATGATGTATTCTAGTTAGGACCGGCAATTTGTTTTATTACTCATAAACCCCACATGAAATTGACTTGAATTTAAATTTAATTTTAATGAGTTTCGACTACAACTTTGTTGACCGATGAGACCCATTTTACAATCGATAGGTTGATACAAGCTTGAAGATGCATAGCACAACCCAACAATAAACGATGCAATCTTGACACAATACAGGCTCAAATGTATATGATCATAAATCAATTAGGTACTATGCAAGAATAAATCCATGCAAAGGACCATCACTTTGCGCGGACATAGATTATGGCGGAAAAGTCTTGATGAACTGATGGTCAGAGGCGGTCAAAGGAACTCTAATACTTAAGTCAGTAAGAGAGTCAAAGAAAAATATAGAGTAAATAAATTGGGATTAAATTTTCTTACCTAGTACCTGATATTTTTTTTTTATAGTAGTATAGGAAATTATGTTTCATATAGTCACGAACTCTAGGTTGTGATAGGGTAGATCTCATCACTACTTCTCTAGATGTCGTACTAGAACACTGAGTCTTAGATTGTGGCTGCCTGTCGGCTCATGTGCCGATCGGTACAAGCAAAGGGTGAGCTGCCCCTAGGTAGCTGCCACTTGCTTGACCTTTTCTTGGTTGAACTTAGTGGATTGCTAGAAAAAAAGACCTCGCTTTGGTAGCTGCCTCGGAGTAGTAGTGTTTTGCAACTATCGGTCGGCATGGGTGTCTATCGGCATTAGCGAGGAGAGCAAGAGGGGAAGATAGAGGGAGGAGGTTGGGCTACATAGGTGCCTGCCGGCACTAGCAAGGAGAGCAAGAGAGGAAGATACAGAGAAAGAGAGAGAGTTGGCTACTACTGTCGGTCGACATGTGTGTCTGCCGGAGTAACAGGCCTTTAGTTCCACATGTACGTACTGAATAAATTTAAAATTTTGGGAACCCGATATGACAAACACATGTTGTAACCAATGACCTAAAATGATTTTTTAACTTCCATTACAAGGCTTTAAAACCTTAAATTGTTACTGATTTCAAACTTCAGTGACATATTGCAATGTTTATAGGCATAGCGGATGGGTTTAATTCAACTAGTAGAAAGACCAATGCGGGGTACCAAACACCATGAATGATTATGGAAAATGAAATTAATTCCTCAGAAATATATTCCCAAAATCAGAATTTCTTCCAAAACCATTTTAAGGGAATATTCTTCTTTCTCCTTTCTTCTGTTCTCTTTCTTTTTTGGGTGGCTTCTGCTCTAATGTTGCTTTCACCGCCCATCTAGAATCCAAATAACCCAAAAGATTGATGCTTATTGATGATGCCTATACCTGTAAACCCTCCAACATGAAATTAAAAACGATTATTGAGAATATAAAAACTAATACAATTACATTGTACAAAGCCACTGAATTTTGAATTTTCTCTTGTACGAAATCTATAACAATGATACTTAATTTTGTGTACTAATGTACTATAGACTTAATTATTTTTTTGTATAACAGCTGCTTGTGTGGCATGTCATGTCATGGCTCCCTCAGCAGCAATCACAAACATGCTTAGGTATATCGTGTCAACTAACCAAGCTACTGCTTTGAGCCAATAAACCACCTAATTGCAACAACACGCAACCATAATTATCAAATATAATTTAAAAGAAGCTTCTGCTCTCTCTCTCCACCCCCCC